CCTTGATTCTCAAATGCTCTTTGCTGACTTCAGCGTCCTACCCTCCTCAGGTGTCCCCGTACCAAGAGGGCCAGGTTCAGCCCCGCCCAAACCTGACCAATGTGCTCCCTCCTCCTGAGATGTCATGTTTGTGACATGTCCCTCCCTATCTCCAGAATCTGTATCCACTGATTCATTTATTCTGAAAAATTTTGGCAATGTATATAAGTATTTCATGATTCCAGCCTCCTTGCAATGTATATTTATAAGTATTTCATGATTCCAGCCTCCTTGGGCTTTATTCCAATTATTCATACCTGTTCATTCTGGCCTCCTCGCCTTCTCTACTGCCCCAGAAGGCTGGCAGAAGCTGGGAGAGAAACAATGGGACATAGTTCACCCTGTCACACGGATTCAAACTGCAGTGCTGATCTGATGGACAAGCCCAGTGGCTCAGCGGTTTAACCCGCCGTGCCACAGTCTATGTTGCTGCTATGTGCAACCTGTGCGGGCGTACCCCCCATCTCACCGGGCACCAATTCCAGCCTCCTTGGGTCATGTTGGCCCCAAATCCTGCATCCCTCTCCAGCTGCCTTGGGCTTGTCTGCTGCTGATTCTGCCCTGGGCTTGCCTGCTGCTTATCCTGTGCCAAGAATCGAGCCAAGGGGCTTCCAGATCTTGACTGCTGGGTGAAGTTGGCTCATCGGGCCAAGTTCTTTCTTTCCTGCCTGCCTGCCTGCCTGCCTGCTTATTAGTGCTCCAAAGTCCACTCGGGCTTCATTCCTAATTCCTGACTGTTCATTCCAGCTTCCTACTGCCTCATGGAACAAACTACGGGAGCTCAGCTCACCCTGTTCTGCACGAGAAGCCCAGCGGCCCCATGGATTAACCGCCATTACATTGGTACATAACCACCATTACATAATATTTAACACCCTATTCATCTGCTGTTGCTGTTGTTGTGCAACCTCAGTTGCCTCCTGGGGGTAAACTTAACTATGCAGTCAAATGTGACGTTCCCAAAGAAGCCAAGAGTCTGCTTTCAAGCCTGTCCGGGCATCCAAGTGCCAACCAGGCCTGTCTCAAGCCCCGCCCCCAAGCCTGCCCAGGCATCCCCTGTGCCAAAGAGGGCCTGCCTCAGGCCCACCCAAAACTGGCAAACTGTTCATTCCAGCTTCCTAGCTATTCTACAGCCTCAGTAAGTAAGCAGAACTTGGAACAAACTACAGGAGCTCAGCTCACCAGCGGCCCCATAGATTAACCACTGTTACGTTAGTAGCACATTGAACTCTATTCATCTGCTGTTGTTGCTGCAGTTGTGCAACCTCAGTTTCTTCTTGGGGGCAAACTCAACTACTTTTGTGCTGAAGAGGACAAGAGTCTTCTTTCCTTCTGCTTCCTTCCTCTTGCCTGTGCCTCTTCGTTTTCCTCTGCCCCCCCCCAAGCCTGTCTGGGCTTCCCCATGCCAAGAGGGCAAGGCTCTGCCCCACCCTGTGCCGTGTGGTAAACTCTCCTGGGGGGACCCAATTTGTGGGTAAATAACTTGGAGTTCCGATATCCAATCTTCACCAAAGTTGGCAGGCGTGTTGGGGAATGACATAGGAAGTGCCGTAGTGATTCTGGAGTCTCTAAGTACCTGGGGAGAGATTTCCTGGAGGTCCTGTTTGTGACTATATAACTCAGGGGTCCATGTACCAATGTTCACCAAACCATCAGGAGTTGTAAAAATGTGTCTGAGGAAGCTTCCCTGCAAATTTGGTGTCTCTAGGTCATTGGGGACCAGTGTTATAGCCATTCAAAGTCCAGACATTGATTCATCAATTCGTCAAAGAATATTCGTATATTGATATTTGTTGATTCATTAACCTTGATGAATAATGGATCAAAATGAATTGCCATTTTTTTATTCGTCCCCATCTCTAGTAGCAACCAAAAGCAGAAAGAACTATCAAAAAATCAGGTTGTTATGCTACCTCTGATGAATTCTGAGGCAAATTAATCTAGTAACTGTGATTTTATTTAATCTACTTGGTTCAGGAAACAGCAGGGAAAGGGAAATGGACTATGAAGTATCACTGGAATGGATTCTACTACAGTCTTTATCCTACAATAATTAAGGGAATAGTGTTGAAAGTGTTTCTTTCATCTGTCTAAAAACACTTTATGCAATACTATACAGTACTGATACTATATTCAACAACATATGCAACATATATTCCAGCCAAAGTTATACTATAAAGTTTTTATTTACTGTGCTATGTTTTTACTTGGCAACTTTAATTATTTAATTATTTAATTATTAACTGCTTCTACTTTTTGCATCTAGAGTGCCATTTTAATTCTGGATTTAAATAAACATTTATATTTTTAGAATGATGACTGCACAATTGGCATAAAGCACGTAAGTACACATGAAGATAAGGACTTGAACATAAGAACTTTCAAAAGTACCTATTTATTTCTAAAACTTTCACTTTCAGTGTATGTGTACGTGCACTATGAGTGTAAGGATTTTTCAGTTTGTCCTCTGTGACTTCTACCATACTTAACTTTCTAATTTGTGAAATCACATCTCCTTCATGTTAATGATTATTTATTGCATTCAGTGCAAGATGTACCCAGTTCAATTAATCAGGGGAAACTTAAAAATCAATTAATATGAATTAAATGAGCTCCAGCAACTCTTAGAAAAGTCACACGTAATTTACCAAAGCAC